ATCTCTGTGAGTTTGAGGCCAGCCTGCCTTGCAAGCAGGCGGTCGTGAGTTCGAGCCCCGGTACCGATAAAAATGAAAAAGACAAAAAAAAAAAAAAAAAAAAAAGGAGGGAGTTTGAGGCCAGCCTGAGCTACATAGTGAGTTCAAGGCCAGTCTGTACAATGCAGTGAGACCCTGCCTCAAAAAACAAAACAAAACAATTCAGTGATTCGTCACTGCTGTTTTAAAACTTGTTGTGTTATCGGGTAGCTTGCTTCTCAAAAGTGGCTCACCAGCTTCACGTTACCCGGTTAGGGTTTGCTTGTCTCTCCTTCCAGAGTTGGATTCCTTTCAAAGAATTAAACGAAGTGAGCCAAAAGTAGTGGCAGTTTGTTAGAGAAGGGAAGAGTGGGAGAGAAATAAGTGTGGATTCTTTATTTAGGTGTTTCTTCCGCAACCCACCCTTTCCATGGTCTTTCCTGGCTTTCAACTTGCAGTTATCTTCCTGCCCCATCCACCGAGTGCTTGGGATGACAGATATTTGCCACCACAGCTGGCAGGACTCCTAATGTCATTTGAAATAAGTTTGCATGGTGTGTTTCACGCAAATTATGTACAGCCTTTAATATACTTACTACTTCGCATTGTGTAGGTTTTGTTGCTACAGAAGTATTGGCTTTGAAGAATTGTATTTCGGGGCTGGGGATTTAGCTCAGCGGCATAAGCGCCTGCCTTGCAAGCAGGCAGTTGTGAGTTCAATCCCTGGTACCGATAAAAAACGAAAAAGACCAAAAAAAATTTTTTTAATTTCACTCGTCATGGCAGCACATGCCTGTAAGCCCAGGCATGGGAGACTGAAGCAGGATTGCAGATTCCAGGCCAACCTGGGCAATTTAGTGAGACCTAAAATTAAAAAAATTTTTTTTAAAGATCGAGGCCTTGGATTTGATTGCAGAGGGAAGGAAGGAGAGAGGAAAGGAAGTTCGAACCCAGATTGGGCAATTTAGTGGCTTAGCAACACTGTCTCAAAATAAAAAATGAGAAAGAGATGGGGATGTACCTCCAGGCATCGGCCCTGGGTTCAGGCCCTAGTGTGTCTGTCTCTGGGTGGGCGCTGGGGTACTTTCAGTGTTTCCTTCTTAGCTTCTGGTATGTTCTGTTTATTAGTTTTTTTTTTTTTCCCCCATTCTGACTTGCTGAGAATGTTTATTGTGAATGGATATTAAATTTTACCTGGCTTTTCAACAACTACCAAAATGATCGCATCATGTTTTTGTTTTTTTTAATCTAGAATGGATTTTTCTCATGTTAGGCCATCTTGGTGTAGGAATACCAAGATGGATTTATTTTATTTTATTTTACTTTGAGATAGTGTTTCACTCTGCAACACAGGCTGGCCTTGAATTCTCTAGGTACTCTGGGAAGACCTCGAACTCAGAGCAATCCTCCTGCTTGAGCATACTAGAATTACAGGCATGCACCACCACACCTGGCATTTTACTAACATTTTGTTTAGTATTTTGTATCTATACTTAGAGTGAGTCTGGTCGGAAATTTTTCTTTTTCATGTTTTATCTGTTTTTGCTGTGTATATTAAACTAGCCTCTTAGAATTGTATTTGGGGCATTATCTGTATTTTTACTCTGAAAATATTCTTTTTGAAAAATTTGGAGAACTTGCCTTAAAAACTATCTGGGATTGGTATTTTCTCAGCAGTAAGATTTTTAAATATAGTTTCACCTTATTTAGCATTTCTCAGTTCATCAGGTTTTCTAATTAATTTTGAATCAGTTTATATTGCATGTTCTTGACATTAATACATATAAAGTTTATACTTTTTTCAAATAAAGTTCTCCATTCTTTATTTTTCTGTCCTGCACTGGACCTGTAGTTGTACTTCTTTTTCGTATTCATAACACGGTTTTATTTGTACCTTTTCTTGTCTTGATCCAGTTGTCCCTAAAGGTTCCATGAAACCTCTCTGCTGCGTAAATTTCTGCCCTTATGTTTATCTTTTTGTTTGTTTTTTTGGGTCTTTTTGTTCATTTGTTTTCTTTGGCATTTGCTTAACTTTAGCATGTAATTCGTTATTTCTGTTGTTTTCTTTTTTCTTAACATAAACATCTAAGGCTATAAATTTCCTTTATAAATATTATGTCACAGGTTTTGAAAGTACTGTAAGGTTTCAGTTATAACTTTTTTGTTTGCGGGGGGGGATTTGTTTTGTTTTTCTTTTTATCTTTGAGTGTCTTAAAAATATTTCAGAAATTCCAAATAGATGAAGTTTTACTTTTTTACTTTTATAATTGACTTTTAACTTAATCATGTTGTGGTCAGAGAACATAATCTGTGAACAACTTCCTTGATTTTTCTTTTTCTTTTTTTTTTTTGATACCAGGAATTGAACTCATGACCATCCCTTGAAATTTCTTGAGACCTATTAGTACAAGATTAACTTTTGTAAATAGGCCATGCATGCCTGAGAAAAATGTGTATTCTGTACTTAATGGGTAAAAAATTGTGTGTATATTCACTTGTTCATCCTTGTTAATTGTATTTTTTAGATAGTGTACATTTTTACTAATCTTTTGTCTTTTTGTGGTATCAGTAATTGAGAAAAGTATGTTATTGGTCTTTTTCTATCCTGGGGTTGTATCTGGTTAGGCTTTCTATGCATACAAAGAATATGACAAGTCAGAATTATTGTCTTTTTCTGATAAATTGAAGCTTGTATCATTATATAGTGACCTTTTGTGATCCTAATAATGCCTTTGTTTTCAAACTAAGCATAAACCTTTGTTTTATGTCTCACATTTCTGCAGTTGATGTGTTTTCCTTTAGCAGTTTGCCTAACTTGTAGTTTTTATGGTCCTTTTGTTCAGGTGGCTTTACATGTCAGTAACATGTAAAAGAATTTTCTTTTTAAACTAGTATGGAAAGAATTGCCTTTTTGCTAGAAAACTCATTGTTCACCTTCAAGGTTTTCCTGCAGAGTTTGATTTGTTCCTACTTACAGTGTCTAGTTTCGGCCCCCTTGAAGGTCTTGGAGCTTACGGAGGAAGCAGTGAGCTTCCCCACCTTGCCTGGTGGCCCAGGATTTAGTGTTCGCGCTGACTTGTGAGAGTGCCATCAGCTCTGTAGCCCATTCGGTCTTTCCTTACCACTTTATCCACAAGCATACTGTATTTCGAGAAGGAGTGAAGGTTGTTGTGGGTGCCCTTGACCCCTGTGATGTCAGGTTTTGGGGTTTTTTTTTGTCTTTTTCCTTTTTATCGGTACCGGGGATCGAACTCATGACTGCCTGCTTGCAAGGCAGGCGCTTATGCGCTGAGCTAAATCCTCAGCCCCGTGATGTCAGTTTGAACAAATGTTTTAGGGAGTATATAGTCATTCTTTACAGTTAATGTTTCTTAGGGTACCTTTTCTTTTTGGTACTGGGGATTGAACCCATGTCCTTCACACTGAGCTGCATATCCTAGCTACCCTTTTGCCCTCATCAAAGACAGGGTCTTGCTAGGTTGCCCAGGCTGGGCTCAAATTTATGATCTTTCTGCCTCAGCCTCCTAGAGTGCTAGAACTACAGATTGTCCCATCATGCCCCAACTCTAGTGAAATCTTGATCATTCTTTTTTCTTAATCCTTTTGACTACACCCAGTTATACTCTCGTGAATTTTCTCCTCCAAAATGTTTCTCAGCTCTCTGTCTTCCTCTCCATTTCCCTGTCACTTCATGCCCAGTGCCCTTACCTCCCTATCCTGTAAGGGTCAGATCATTTCATCTGGCGTTTCTGACTCTCCAGAATCTGGGTTCATCCTACCACCCCAACAGGAGCTTTCTCTTTGCTGTTTAGTCAGACGGTCCCCTGCACATTCCTGCTCTGAGGCTTCCCCTCCTGCCACGTCTCTGCTCTGCTCCGTAGTTTTCAGTACCTGGCTCATAGACTCTGGCCCCACTCTCACCTCCTGAACCCTCCCTTAATGATGAAATGACTAGTTTATTAACCACTTCCTCCTTCGAACTATGTCTTAGTGTTGTGTTTGTTGAAATGTTTTTAAAAATCCGCAGATTGGAAAGGATCTTTAAAGTGATCTAGTTTAATCTCTGAAAACTTCAGGCCTCTATTATTTCATACATAGCACTGGCTTCTAAGGTTGTATAAAGCTTATATAAAATATAGTGAGCAGTCAGAGAATAGGGGCTTGGTTTGCTATGCTTTTGTTTTTCCTCGTAATACTGAGTCTGAGCCTACCCTAGAAAATAGTGAAAAATACATTCAATGAATAAATGAATCCTATATATGAAAAACATGCAGGTTTTTCTTCAAAGGGTTTATAATGGAGTAACTTGTCTCTCCCTACCCTTACTCCATGCATCACAGTTTCTGGTTCTGTTTCAAATACCTGCAGGAGAGGATGTCTGTAAAGATGGCAGATACCTTGGAGTCCCCTTGTCTTTACATAGCTCTGTATTAGCCTTGGTGTTTATTTTTCTGCTTCTTGAAATTGTTTGAATTTTTTCACTTTTGCATGTACAGTGGTTGACATGAATTACAATGGACTTTGTTGAATGTTGAGCATTATTTCCAGTAGTAGTTTAGAAATATTTAGCAAAGTCTCTTTCATTTGCTTAACAGCAATTATGTTGTGGATTAAAAATTCATATAAAAAATTACAACCACATAAACTTTGTTGTGGGCACTAAGTATATACTTTGTACAGATTTAACAATGACTATTTTTTCTGTGTGGCGAATAGAAAATAATACCTTTACTATGTAATTATTTGTGTGACATGCATAATTTTGGAAATAAGGTATGTATCTATGGCAAGGATGATTATATAAAGTTAGTGCTAAGTTCTAGAATGTTAAGTGCTTTATGTAGAGAAAGTACACAATATTTGATTTTAAGTTTAGTTTTGATGAAAATACAGAAATGAAATTTGCATATATAAGTGTTTCCATTTTAGAGCATGTCAAAAGAATAAGCATAGTAATTTGAATGCTCTATTTTTATTTCTAGAAACCAGCAAATATCCTAGTAATGGGAGAAGGTCCTGAGAGAGGGAGAGTCAAAATTGGTAGGTAATTATTCCTAAATTAATTGATTAAGAAACTAAAGTGACTGCAGAGGTGTGGTTACCCTTTTTAGTATCCTTATTTAAGTAGTTAATTTTAAAATTACATTCTCATAATTTTTTGGAAGAGTTGTTGGAAAAAGTAGGTAGATAGTGTATAAAGCCTGTAGCCCTTTTCCCAAAATTAGATTCTATAGTTCTAAGTTAAGGCATCTTGGAATTGACAAACTCCACAAAATCATTCACTGCTATGCAGTAGCCCAGGCATGTGTGTACATCACAGCCATCCTAAGTACAATTCCCTAAGTCTTACTGTTTATCTTAGTGTTACCAAATCTTCTCTCCCTGTACACATCCTCCTAACCCTGACTGGCAGTTCACAGGGACCCTTAGAGGTTCCACCCACTTGGCTACCCCACCCAGCATGTCCTGTGCCAGGTACTAATGTAGTCTTTCTAAATGAGTATGTGTGCTTAGTCTCTTTCCTGCCTATCTTTGCTTAAGATGCCACAGGAATCTTTTATCTATATTGATATTTGCTCCACCCTGGAGGTAAAACCAGTGTTGTGTGGGTGTGGGTGTGTGTAACATATTCAGAGAGAAAATGAGCTCAGTAATGCTTTACTCTAACTTCTTTTAGTAGAAATTGCACAGAGTGAACTGGACATGGTGTTGCTCACCTATAAACTCACTACTCAGGAGCCTGAAGCAGGAGAATTCCAAGTTCAAGGCCAGCATGTAGTACATAGTGATACTCTGTCTCAAAAAAGAGATGGAAGAAGTTACATTTATAATTATCAGTGCTTTGTTAGAATAAATTAAAAATAAATTTTGTTTCATCGGCCTACTTTCTGCACTTTTAAAATACTCTATCATAGAGGTGATTTGCAAACTTGACCTACTGTAAATTCATGTTTTCCTAATTCAACTGAACCTGCCCTGCTGCTTGGCTTTCTGCTTTCTCAGTTACTTCCTTGGCCTAATTTCTGAAGAAGCTGTACTAAAACTACTTCCCCTTCATTACATCTCTACTCTGAGTTTGCTCAGATTGAGCTTCATTCAAAAAATGTGATGTCCAGCTGAGCATGGCAGCACATGCTTGCGATCCCAGCACTCAGGAGGCTGAGGCAAGAGGATTGCTGTGAGTTGGAAGCCAGCCTGAGCTACATAGCAAGATCCTGTCCCCAAAACGAAAATAAACAAAATGTGATGTTAGTAAGCACCCTGTGGCGGCTTTCTTTCTCTTCCTTCCCCTCCTTTCTCTACCACGCCTCACTTGTTCCTGTTTTTATTTTATATGCACATTCTTTTTCTTACAAGTATTTATTGAGTAGCTACTTTTTCCAGGTGCAAGTGAAAAAAAGGTATATTCTCTCCCTTTGAGAGACAGTGAAATGTAAACAGTGTTGTAGATGCTTTCATAGTGCTGTGTTTTGTATAACCACTCTTAAAGGTAGGTACTCGATGAGGAAAGCTGGATTTTTAGAGATAAGGTTGTAGTTTACTCAGCTTTTCAGAGCTAGGATTGGATTCCTGGTCCTCAGAGTCCCGACAAACAAGGCCACCGTGGCGATATCGGAGAGAGCCACAGACCTTCCCTCTGTCAACACAGCTCTGCTTTGGAAAGAGCCCCGGAGAATGACCCTTCCTTACTCGCACCCGGGCGGACCTCGAAATGTCCTCCCGCCCTACTGAAATTCGCTCCTCACAGCACTCTCATTTTTTCCCATCTCAAGTTTCTCCTTTTTCTTTAAACATTCACATTTCTCTTTCCAATGTAAATAAATCTCACCCATCTTGATGTTTCAGCATCTGTTTCTTCCTCTTGTTCTGTACTTCTGGACTACCCCTGATGCTCATCCTTTGGTCCTAGTTACATCTTGCATCCAGTTCCATCTCAGAAAACAACTGTGAGCTCGATCTTACCAAATCTAGTAGACTAGCTTGATCTCCTGTCATCTTATGACACTGCATAATTGTATTTTTCTCCTGCAGCTTTTGTTGTCATATCTGCATTTTAATCATTACTGCCGCTTACTCTATTATCTTGTTGTTTCAAAGCACTATCCACTGAGTTAGGACACAACTTCCTTTACTTTATTAGGCAGTTGATGAATTATGGCCTCAAAATTTTGGATTCTAAAATCTAGATCATCTAGTTTCTCACTCCAGCTGGATTTTTTTTTTTTTGTTTTGTTTTGTTTTGTTTTGTACTATGAATTGAACTCAGGACCTTGCACTTGACAGGCGGGCTCTGTGCCACTGAGCTGTATCCTTGGCCCTCCAGCTGGATTCTTTACACATCATCCTAGCAAATTAATCTCCTTTGTTCCAAGTCAGATTCATTATCATCTTACATTCTTTTTTTTTTTTTTTTTCCTTTTTGGCTGTCTTAGTCACTTTATGTTCGTCGCTGAGACAAAATACCTGAAGCCCAAAGTTGGGAAAGGAAAGGTTTATTTCTTACAGTTTTTGGAGGTTTCAGTCCACACTCAGTTGTCTCCAAGAAAGACAGGCATGGGTGAGCTGCAGTTCATGGCGGCCGCCAGCAGCAAACTCAAACCAGCAAAGAGAAAAACGCACCTTCTTCCTGCCATTACATCACATCCTGGCTCCACCCCTATGTAGGTGGAGCACTGACACCATCAATCCAAGCACTATACAATGAACCATCACATATGAACAATGCAAACTCATGAGGCCTGGGGGACACAAACGTAAACCATGACATTCCACCCCTGGCCCCCAGGACTCATGTACATCCTTTATACAAAAGACATTTAGTCCACTTCCAAGAGTTGGCAAAGTCCTAACAGCTTCAACATTGCTGAAAAGTCCAAGTCCCAAGTCTCCTCCAAGATCTATGGCAAACTCTTAACTGTAAGCCCCTGTACAAAAGAAACAAGGTTAAACATTTCTGAAATGCAAAGGCACAAGATAACATTACCATTCCAAAAGTTAAAAACAGGAGAATAGAAAGCATTCGAAATAAAGCAATTCCAACATCCAGCAGGGCAAACATTAAGTCCTAGAGTTCTACACTCAGCATCTGAAGCAATCTGGTTGCAAGTTCCAAAAGCCTTGGGTGATTCCACCCCCAGGGCACTTCTGGTGATTTCAACTCCCGCAGCTTTTCTCTTAAGTCTTCTCTGCTCGCTTTTTGCAGCTTCCCTTGGGTCACCCACATTTCTGGCTTTTCCAAACTTCTGGAGTCTCCACTGTACCTTCGGCTTCACACTTACATCTTCACAAATTGCCCTCTCAGGGGCACACTGCTTGGCCAGCCAGGCCCTTTGCAATCGAGGTGGAAGCTGTCTTACCCTCAGAATTCGTGCATTTTCCTTGCACCTAAAATCAGCACCTTGTGGATGCCGCCAAGGTTTGCTGCTAGCTGAAGCAGCCAGGCTTTTCTCTCTCTTGGCTGTAGGGGTCAGTTGCCTGGATCACAGGGCTCTGTTTACCTGATTGTGATGAAAAGCTTCTCTATGTTGCCGCCATTCTGGAACTTCACGTGGCCTCTGTCGCCATTCTGGAGCTTGGCACTCTGTAGATTTTTCCTCTGAGCAAAATTTTTCATCTTTGTTGTGAGCCTGCACAGGGTGGGGACTTGCTTCCTGGGATGCCCCGGGGCCATCTTTCTTATCTCTCTGTTTCTCCTCAGGAATCAAAATCTCAACTCTGTCTTTACAATCCACACCCTTCCTGGAATCTTCCTTCGGGCCAAACTCACAGCATTGTACATTATCCTGCTGGGCTCTTCCCAAAACATAAAGCTGGCTGAAAGCCACCAACAATAGCCATGCCACAGCCTCAACATTTGGTTGCTTTTTAATTTCTTTTTCAAGATTAATCAGTCTATTGCCCTTTGTCTCAGTCTCAGGCAAAGTCTCTGGGCAGGAGCAAAATGCAGACAAACTTTCTGCTAAGCCATAACACATATTGTGGAGTCCAACGACCAATGCAGTCCTTCCCAGCAGAAACCTCCCAAGCCTGGTCTTTGCCATCAGGCTTTCCATCAGCTTTCTGGTCTCCTGAGCTCTGACCAGAATCTCCTCTACAGAACAGCCTAAGCTGCTCCAGCTCTATGCATCCAGGCGACATGTCCAAAGCTTTCCAAACTCCGCCCACAAGCCATTTCCAAAGCCTCTTGAAAAACATGGTCAGGTATAGTCACAGCAAACGACCCCACTCCTCAGTACCAAATTCTGTTTTAGTTACTTTTTACTCGTTGCTGAGACAAAATACCTGAAGCCCAAAGTTGGGAAAGGAAAGGTTTATTTTTTACAGTTTTTGGAGGTTTCAGTCCACACTCAGTTGGCTCCAAGACAGGCGGGCATGGCTGGACCGCCGTTCATGGCAGCTGCAAATGGCAAGCTCGAACCAGCGAAGAGAAAGACACACCTTCTTCCTGCCATTACATTACATCCTGGCTCTACCCCCTATGTGGGTGGAGCACTGACACCATTAATCCAAGCACTATACAATGAACCATCACATATGAACAATGCAAACTCATGAGGCCTGGAGGACACAAACATAAACCATGACATTGGCTTTTTCTTTTTTTTTTTATCGGTACCAGGAATCGAACTCACGACTGCCTGCTTGCAAGGCAGGCGCTTATGCTGCTGAGCTAAATCCCCAGCCCCTTATGTTCTTTCTTGTTAGTAGCACTTATTACCTTAATCCCAGTCACCCCAATCTAAATTCTTCTGTTTTTACTACTTCTCAACACAAAATTCTGTATCTGGTCAGGCCACTTGTTACCTTATTGTTAGGAATTTTAGGATTGTAATTCCATCCAAGATTAGGGGCATAGCCAGAGTTAAAAATAAGCAATAATTAATAATCATAATTAACAAAAGTCTATGAGCCATCAAATCATTGATTAAATTGCTGATAAATTTTGTTCTAATGGCACATGTTAAGTTTTGGTTACTATTTTTCAGAGAGCGAGGATTAAGCTAGGTCTCCACATTTCCTAGGTGAGAGCTCTACCACTGAGTGACCTCCTTAGCCCAGAATTACTGGTATTTTTAAATGATGTGAGGGCCAGGTATGATGGCACACAGCTGTAACCCCACACTCGAGAGGCTGAGGCCAGGGTGTCTGGCCAGCCTGAACTATACAGTGAGATTCTGTGTCCAAAAAAAAAAAAAAAGTGTAGAGTGTTTGTCTACTTTGTTCAAAGCACTGGATTCATTTGATCCCCAGCACCACAGAATTAGTAAATGAAAGTCAGTGGTGCTGATGCCTATGCTTTGTGCTTTAGTGCAGTCCTCCTTTGGCTAAGGAGACCTACAAACTCGGACGGAAACACATGGTGCCCTTTTTTGTATCTGAATCTGTCCTTCCTCAGCAGACCAAAGCCTTTCCAGGGCTTCCCTAAAACACGTACTTTCTCCCTTTCTCTCTGTTTCTCTCTGTCTCTCTCCATTTAAAAATAATATTCCCACAGGGTCCATCTCATGTTCCACTTTTCATGTAGTCTACTTCCACAAATGTTTGTGAAACATTGTTCTAGATAATGCCTTAGAAAACACAAATCTCCCTGCACCTCCCGCCCCACGCACATTTAGTAGGAAACTAGCAGATCTCGTAGTCTCATGGTGTTTATCCCTGTGTTATGCTGAGTCTACTCGGTCTAGTTTGTTAAGCTCCTTGGGTGGTAGGCCCTGTGTGTTACCACTTTTCTTTCATTCCATACTGTCAAACTAGCACCCGATCAGAATTCCATACCCCTGTTTAATTGAACAATTCAAGCCATATCTAATTTTAGAGAACCAACTACTATAGTAATATTTAGGCTATTACCTTTTGTCTAAATTAGTAGTTATTTCAGAAGTGATTTGAATCTCCTTTAAAGTTCATACAACGGGCATGAATTGTTTTTAAGAGTAGTATTTTTTTCTGGCCTAGATTCCATTTGACAGTGAATAATAGATGTGGCTTAAAAGAAAGAAGTTAGAGAGTAAGAGGGGAAATTACCCACTGTAGCAGCTTTGAAATTCTTTCTGCCAGGTGTAATGGTTCATGCCTTTACTTGCAGCCTACAGGAGACTGAGGCAGGCAAATGTTAAGTTCATGCCCAGTGGTCTATCTAGCAAGCTCAAGGCCAGACTGGATTATGCAGTAAAATTCTCAGAAAAATAAAAGGGTTGGGGGAGTAAAAGAATTGAGATTGCTATGCGCATGTACCAAGGCCCCCAATGAATGTAATCATTATATTCCACAAACGTGTACTAATAAAAATAAATAGAATTACTTCCCAGTATGCTTGACAGGCAGGGGGAAAATGCCCCCGATGGATGAAACAGCATTCTGTCATACTTTGCTATCAATAAGAATCAACATCTGATTGTTTAATCTGATTAATCATAACATATACAATTGTGTTCATATATTTAATGGCATACTTCATCAACAATAAGTACCTATTAAATATACAAGACAGTGCTTTGAATATTGTGTAATATTTTAGAATAACAAGTGTCATATTGGTAAAATCATGGAATATTTTTGTTTGCTTTAGGGAACTTCACTTAAAAAAGAACAGGTATCAGCCCAGACTTCCATGGATAGCTCTGTTTTTTAAGACCTGGATAACCCAAAGCACTCTCAGAAAGTCTTCTCAAGTTATTTAAATGCTAAAGAAACAAAGTTACAATGAATTAAAATCATAATGCATGATGATCATACCATATTCGCTTTAAATCACATGATACTATAATCATCTAATCAATCATTAGTTGAAGAGTAATACTCCATAGTCTTAAGGTGGAAGCCTTTTATAGTTCTTTGGGACCTATTATATATATTCACTATGTACTGTGTAATACTTTTCAAAATGTAGAGGCTTATTATTGTGACTTTGCCTTTGTGCTTACAGTTATGATAGGTATAATTTATTGGATGTCAGATCAGTGATTAAGAGGTTAAGACTGAACGCCGACATAATATCATAGTACTATGATTCTTGTTGAGTGCTGATTGAACATCCCTGTAAGCATGGGCAAATCATTTAACTGCTTTAGACCCCAGGCGCTTCATCTCATAAATGAGGAACAAAATGAAAAAGTATGTTTTTGTAAAGATTAAATGAAGTGATTTATGATGTATATGAAAGGCATTTGTAAACTGTAGAGTGCTTTATAATTGTTTATGAAATATTAAGAAAATTGCTTTGTATGCCTTAGTGTAGTTTAAACATTATTCTTACTGGTTTTATATACCCCAGTGATTAAATCAGTTTTCTTTGATTTAGGCCTTTATTAAATACTAAATTAAAAAACTTATTTCTTATATGTCCTATGCATATTCTTGGAAATACGTGTGATGTTAGTTACTTTTCAGTAATGACTCTCTGGGTGGCATGGTGGAGTTCCAGTCTGTGGCCTTTGTTGTTTACTATGATGTAAATGCACTAACTGTAGCCAATTCCGGGTTACCAGTATGCTCTCAGCAAGTGCAGGTCAGTGAAGTGTGTGAGTCTGCTCTGGTGAGTTTGTAGGAGCTGGCATCAGCACGTGCCGTGATGAGATGCAATAACTTCTTAGGTGTGCATGGTACACAGAAGCCATGTTAATCATAGGAGGTTTTTAAAACTAATTTTTCATTTTAAAACATTGAAAATATTATAACTGTCTCTGAAAGAAAGGAATTGTTGGGAATGGTGGTACATGCCTGTAATGCCATGACTTAGGTGGCTGAGGCAGGAGGATCATAGTTTAGGCTAGCCTGAACTGCATAGTGAGACCTGGTCTTTAAAAAAATGAAAGAAAGAAAGGAATCTGAAGTCAGAGCTGTATTCTAAACCTGATTGAACCTGGTACCATCTCTGAACCCTGAGCAAGTCGTACCTTTGAGACCTGAGTGCCCTTCTCAGTAAAACAGGCACAATAGTAGACTCTACCACGGGAGGCACGGACGGAGGTAAAGGAAGTGATACATATAGAGTGCCTACAAGAAAGGTGTAGCTGATTTTTTTTTTCTTAAAGGAAAAATACTCCTTTTATAAGGTGTTAGTGGCTATTTTTATTATTTCATGATTCTAATAGTATATCAGTCTGAGTTTTATAATTTTTTTTATTTTTTAGCTGACATGGGTTTTGCCAGATTATTCAATTCTCCTCTAAAGCCACTAGCGGATTTGGATCCTGTAGTTGTGACATTTTGGTATCGGGCTCCAGAACTTTTGCTTGGTGCAAGGCATTATACCAAGGCCATTGGTAAGTTAGTCTGAAATGATTTACTGTCTTGGCATCAAGCTTTTATAAAAACCAAACTGCATAATAAAATCAGTCAGTAAAAACTACTTTATATCTGTTTGTAAATTTCCTGTTGTATTTTATGTTCTAGATTTTATATTCTGCTAAATTTGGATTTTTAATTCTATAGAAGAATGTGATTCCTTTAAAAGAAGAAAGCATTTTCTTTCAGATAGAGACATCTGATCCTGTCGGGTTGCTGTGGAAACAATAACATGTAAATTTTATAACAATATACTGATCAGAACTAGAGATAGGTTGAGAAATGTTTTCTTCAGAAAAAGAAAAACAGAAAATCAGAGATCGTGAATCCTCTGTTGAAGAGAGCTTCTATTTGGGGAAACTTAGTCACCTCCTTTCCTAGGCAAGAAGTGTGACTCATCTTTATCTCTTGCCATTAGTGTTATCAGAATGGTAATTCCTCTATAAAGTAGGAAATAATCTTTGTAGATTAGCTGTGCTCAGCTGCTTACTATTTTACCAAGGAGGGCAGCTAGGGTAAGAAAACCTGTTGTAAGCCGGGTGTGGTGGGGTGCGCCTATAACCCTGCGCTTAGGAGGCTGAGGCAAGAGGGCCTTTACATCTTAAGAGTGTGAGACCATCCTGGGCAGAACAAGACACTTTCCAAAAGCAGAAAGAAAAATTGTTACAAACACGTTTTCTAGGCTTTAATACCTGCCTTACAATAGAGCTTCAGAGATTTTTGCTCCCTGGTCACTGCAGGCTCCTCAGAGGACCCAGCTGGGATTGCAGGCATGCCGCCACCATGCCCAGCTCTACCTTTGTTTTTACTCCCTTCAAAGAAGTCTCCAGGTTTGGTGATGGCTCTCTTCTGCTGACTTCTCAATTCACAGCTGGGTCCTTTCCTCCCCTTCTCTCCCCTTCCCTTCCCTCTTTTTCCTCTCCTTCCCTCCCCTCTTCTCAGTCTCACTAAGTTCCTGGGCTGGACTTGAAACGTCCAGTCTTCCTGCTTCAGCCCCCCAAAATACTGGGATTACAACATGCACTACCATGCCTGGCTTGGATCTTTTTTCTTTTTAATTAGTAGAAAAGTCTCTGAGTAGTCTCAGAACTCTGGGAAACCAGTTTATGTTGGACAGAAGAAGAAAAAGGAGACTGACACCAACCCCTTACTCAGGCCGACAGACCACGTGTAAGCAGCAGGCCTGCGGCTGCCCGGCCACACCCTCAGTGGAGCGCAGGGGCAGCTGTCTGCGGAAGGTGAAGCCAGAGCTGCGGGAAGCAGGGGCAGCAGAGTGAGGAGCTGCAATTGTGCTCCGGGCTCTGCATTCCGCGTGGCTCTTACGCCAGGGCGATGTTGGTGAAAGTCTTTTAGAATACGTTTGCCTTTGTTATTTTGGTTTCTTTTTTCCAACTGTTGGGAACAGTCTCATCTGTCTTAGTCAATTTCAAAAGGCACCAGAGAATAGGAAGAGCTAGGAAAATAAGCCAGGAAAGGGCTTGTGTTAGTTGGAAATAACAGGTGGTGCCTTACAGCCAGCTGCGTGGTGGGTAACCGTGGGCACAGGGTGGGGAAAGATGCAGAACTGATAGAAATCTGTATCCCTCAGACCCTCAGCTATAGATTTCCATTAAGAAAGCGCACATTCAGCCAAAACCTTCTGGCAAACTTAAGTGATTCTCCACCAAAGTCAGTCTCATTCTCAGATTCTTACACAGCAAGTCCATGGTAAGACCTTTTTTTAATAAACATGTGCCTATAGGCAGTAGTGTTGTCCCACTATATGACCCACAGTTTAAGAGGGACAGTTTTATGACACTTTTTTAATTAACATCTCTACAGATAAAATAAATGTGGATTTGGAAGTAAAACTGGGTGTGAACTGCAAACAAGTACATTTTCCATTTCCTCAGAGTTAAGTAGAACTGAAATTGTTTTAACCAGCTTGCAGCTTACTTGCTCAGTAAATGAGGCTTACCACTTAAAGATAAAAATATAATCACTAATTTCTAATTTTAGTCAAGTTCCAATTACCCAATCTCAACAGAACCTAGGAGAAAAGGAAAAGAAAAGGAGTGATCTCCATCTCAGTATCCTTGGGTTTGAAATACAGTCATAGCAATCATACATAAGTACCCATATACTCAGTCACTCTGTTTATAGCTGATCCATGTCAGAAATGAGTTATTTCTGTTCAGCACAAAGGAAAGAGAACTTGCTGATTCAATATTACTGAGTAACATTTAATGAGAGAGGGCGGTAGCAGCCATGGCAGCCGCAGTGGTGGTGGTGGTGTTGTGGATGTAGATGTATCAGGAGACCAAATCACTGACTGAGGAAAGAGACCTCAAGAGAAGGTGGTATAAATGTTATAAGAGCTGGGTGACCGTTTATAATTCAAAGCTAGTATAAGGCAGGAAACAGAATGTAATTCTGCTTACTACTCTGAGGTTCCTTATCTTAGCAATGCATATGGAAACCTAGATCCTGACGCCTGTCCTTTGAATAGAGAACAAGCCAGGAATTGGCGTGACCAGCAACACACAGTGACAGTCCCACGAGTCTGTACAGTAAAGGCCACAAGGAGCAGAGCCATGGGACTATCAGGGGCCAGTGTGCAGCAGTAGGATGTGGATGCAGGAAGAGGAGAAGTAGGTGCTGCAGATACCACTGCTTCACTCTGCAGTGATGGGTGTTGGTGGTGATAATGGCTCTGCTGGGTCAGTAAACAAGAGAACATTGTATTTCATAGCCTTTTGTGATAATAGGTAATGGTGTAATTAAAGATGGTTGTGAAGGGGCGTGTTCCCACTGTCCAGAGGGCCAACCTAACATGGAAGGAAATCATCTCTGACTAGGGTCAGACGAGAGAGGCATGACTATTTTTTTTCCAATTTGGAAATTCATTTACAAAACAGTACATTGACAGCTTTCTTATCTAATGGATATAATTAAGCTCTTCTGGTTTAGTTTGTCTACAGAACGTGATTCTCATATTTGATAGGCTCTTAAATGCTGTACTTCTCTGTGTACTATCATATCCCTAACATTATTATTTTTCTCCTTTTAAAAAATACTTACTAAAAAGCATTTTTTAATGGGCAAATGTGAAAATACATCTCACAAAAGTTAATTCTCTTATACATTTGGGAAAGCATTGTGAACACATTATAGTCCTAGAATATAAAGTGCATTATTTTAGTATATAAAACCAGTAGAATAATCTATAACTAGTAACTTAAATAATTAATAAAACCATTTTTTGCAATGTTGGGAATCAGATCCAGGGCCTTGATCACACAAAGCAAGCGCTCTATCACTAAGAACACATTCTTAGCCCCTAATAAAACTCACCCCCCCCCACCCAATAAAACTTTGAAAGATATCTCTCTTTGTCCCAGGGGGTGAAAGCAGGGTGGTGCATCATCTAAGCAAATATAGTTTGATCAAATCTATCTACTGGTGTTACTCTATGCTTGCATATACTTGAATTATTTATCAGCTTTTAGACCTTTGAGTTGGTTGCAAAACCTGAGATTGTCAGTTTTTCTTTTTACTGTCTTTCTAGACTCAAAACTATCACCTTTCTCACTGTGCATTTGATCACGTTAAAGGAATTATAGCATCGTGTCTGATGCTGGTATTGCTTCATTCTTTAGAGCTGAATAGTATTCCCTCTACCAGATTATCAGTCAAATATTTCAGTGATCCCCACCCCCCTTTGGTACTGGGGTCAAACTTACAACCTCGCACTTGCTAGGCAGGCACTTATTCCACTGAGTAAATCCCCAGCCCTAGTGGTTAAATTATTAATACTAATTAGAAAGATTTTTTTGCTAAATCTATGGAAGTCATTTTTTAGATGATAGATACTGGGAAGTAGAAAGAAAATATTCAAATGGGAAGGGGAACAAGGGAAGGATGGTCGAAGGGAAGAGAGGGAATGCGGACTTTAAAAAATAGAAGAATGGAGAGGGGAAGGAGGATTGAAGGGAAAGGAATGGGGAAAAGGCATTAAGATATTTTGTGCAGACATAAATTTTCTATGATGATTGTGATCATTATGTATCTCAAAAGTGTACCAATAAAATTAATTTTTAAAAAAGGAAAAAAGTCATTTTTGAACTGGGTGGGTGTGTTACAGACCTATAATCTCAGCACTTGGGAGGCTGAGGCAGAGGAGAGGCCAGAGTTCAAGGCCCGACTGGACTATATAGTGAGATTCTCTCAAAACACAACAAGCAACAGGAAAAAAAAGAGAAAAGAATCCATTTCTTGTCATGTTACTTTTTCCTAAATTTATCTACGTTAGGAAATTTACATATAAATGTTTTCATTTGGCTTTCAATTTCATGATGATAGTTATTTCATGTCCCATATACTGTGTATGTTTTCTCAATACATTTATTATACTTTGTATATTGTTTTACTGAAGTGTTCTTTTATTTATATTGGAATTACTCAGAAATTATAACTAAGGAAATGTAATAACATTTCTGCTCCATAGATATCTGGGCAATTGGTTGCATATTTGCGGAGTTGTTGACTTCAGAACCTATCTTTCACTGTCGTCAGGAAGATATAAAAACAAGCAACCCCTTTCACCACGATCAGCTGGATCGGATATTTAGTGTCATGGGGTTTCCTGCAGGTAATTCTTTTTCCTCTTCAAAATTCTATTTTCAGTTACATATCAGAATCATTCCTTTTCAAAGTTATATTTATTTAAAGTATGTATATGTCTACTTTTAAATTAAAAATTAGATTTTAAAGTTTAGCATGTTATTTTTCTGTAACAATATTAAATTTGTGGGGTTTTTGTTTTTGTTTTTTATTTTTTTGGTAAGATAAAGACTGGGAAGATATTAGAAAGATGCCAGAATACCCTACACTTCAAAAAGACTTTAGAAGAACGACGTAAGTAATGCCCTAATTCCTTGGTCTTGTGGTGGCAAATCTATGGCATACATCCCATGATGGGCTGTTAGTGTCATTGGAGGCTCTGGAAGGCTCGCATCATTTTTTTAGCCCCTTTGTGCCGCTATTTTAAAAATATCTTAGACTGGGAAATTTATAGCAAACAGAAATGTGTTTTCTCACAGTTGCAGGAAGGCCCAGACCAAGGTGCTGCAGGTTCGGCATCTGGGCGGGCGCCCTCTGCTTCCAGAGGGGAGCCCCATTGCTGTGCCTCCTGTGCCGTGTGCCAGGCGCGGGGGAAGGCTGTGCGGAGCCTCTGTAATGAGCCGCTAATGGCATACCTGAGGACAGAACCCTCCACTACCCAAATGGCCTCCTGCGGGCACCAGCTGCTAACATTGGTGCACCAAACCATAGCATGAATTACAGATCATAACCTCAGTGAGAAAATTTAAACTGAATGTTTAAAAAACAAGCTGTAGTTTATTATTTAAATCAGAAACTTCAAAGCTGGGTGTGGTTGCACATGCCAGTAATCCCAGTACTCAGGAGGCTGAGGCAGTAGGATCAGCATGAGTTTGAGACCAACCTGGGCTATATAGTGAATCCAGGCCAGCCTGAACTACATAGTGAGTCTATGGCTTTAAAACAAGATCATGGCTTTGAAACAGAAAGAAGGAAAGAAAGAGAGAGAGAGAGAGAAAGAGAGAAAGAGAAGGAAGGAAGGAAAGAGACACAGAGACAGACAGACAGGGAAACTTCTGTTTTATTGTATTAGTTATGCCCATGATTGGAGGATTATATTCCAGATGCAGTTAACATACATGCTTAATTTAGGCTGTAATAGTTAAAAACTTCTAGGAATTTCAGGGTCAGTAGACAGTTTAAATGTATGTTCCGTTTTAGTGTGATAAAGATCTCATTCAGTATCATAATTTTGGAGTTGTCATCTGAGTAATGAAAAACCGAGGGATGGCAGAAATAACACAAGACTCACGATCTGAGTAAAACAAATTCATAGAGACATGTGTATTAAGTAGAAGAAAAGAAGAGTAGAAGTGACAGAGAGGGGAAAAGAGAGAAAGCAGACAGTGGAGAGGAGTTATTAATGTGCATGCTGAGACAGGGCGTGGTGCCACATAGCTGCAGTCCCATTCCTTGGGAAGCTGAGGCAGAGTTGGCAGTGATTTGTAGGCCAGTTTGGGATTACATAGTGAGTTCAAGGCCAGTCTGAACTGTGTAGGGACACTTTGTCTCTTTAAAAAAAAAAAAATACCTTAACAAAATCTATACATATGGTTGTGGGGGGGTATATATTTATATTTATATTTATAAAAATCCAGGTACAGTGGTGCATACCCCTAATTCCAGCTACTCTAAAGGCTGAGGTAGGAGAAGGCCACAAATTCTAGGCCAGATTAGTGAGACCTCATTTCAAAATATTGAAAAGGGCTGTAGGTGTAGTTCAGGGGTAGTGCATCTGCCTAGCACGTACAAGGCTCTGAGATCAATCTCCAGTACTGAAAAAAAGCAAAAAATAAAAGCCCAACCAACCAAACAAAAGTTTCAACTGCATATATAGACATATGTGTTGGGAAGAGTGCAATAAAATGGACACATGTATTTTTCTGGTGAGAATGAGGACTTCTCAAACTTGTATATGTTTATAGATCATTTGGAGACCCTGTTAAAAATGTGGATCCTAGCCAGATGTGATGACACATGCCTGTTAATCTCAGCACTGAGGATACTGAGTTTGAGGGAATCCTGAAGTACATACTGAGTTCCTGTCTCAAAAAAAAAAAAAGTAGATTCTGAGCCAGTAATGACAATATATACATGTAGTCCCAGCTGCTTAGGATGCTGAGACAAGAGAATCACCGGAGTGCGAGGCTGTCTTGGACAACAGGAGACCTCATCTCAAAAAACAAGAAACAAAACTAGTGGAGGGGCCGGGGATTTAGCTCTGTGGCATACGCGCCTTCCTGGCAAGGAAGGTTGTGAGTTCGATCCCTGGTACTAAAAAAAAAAAAAAAAAAAAAAAAACACTGATTCTCATCTGCTATGAAGTATTTCCTCCTTGTCATGTGCATCATACTTACCTACAAAGACTTCTATTTGATAGCTGTCATCAGACAACTTATATACCAGTAGGAGATATGTAGCCACTCACAATAATACCTTTAAGGAGCATTGGACCAGGAAAGTATTTATGAAACAGGATTAAATGAAAAAAACATGACAATTTTTGTATATGATTTCAATTTTTATAAAAACAAAGCCAAAGCAATTCCTCTATTTGAATAATATGCATGATGGCATACAAAAAAGCCAAAGGGAAGTTAATGAAAACTTTATAGTGTTTTTTTAATCACTAAGTGACTTGATGATGAGTGATTTTAATTTTCTTCTTCATACTTTTCTGTGTTCTCTGATTTTTTTTACCATGAACATGTTACCTATTTTTAGTTTTTCAATTTGAAATATTTTGTATGTAGAAATATATGATGAAAATAATATATGTAGTATATTTAGAATATCCCTCCACCAATTTTTTTACCAGCGAAGTAGAATATTATTCGATTACTGAAATAGCCTGTTTTAAAACTCTGTAAGAGGACAGAATGTGGATGCTCTGAATTTGTTTTTATCGTATCTTTACTTTACATAATGTATCTCTCAGGATTACTGTTCGGTGTCATCATCTCTGACTTTAGAATTGACACTTTCTGTCTGGTTTTCCCTGCAGCTGGTTTCCCCACGCTTGGCTTTACGCACTCATTTTCAGGGTGATATGCTTTCTCTCCATCCTGTGGATGTGTAATCATGTACCAGTTTTTTTCATTTGGTAGATACTGGATTGTTTATAGCTTTTTACTATTACAAAAATGCTGCTAGAAATATTGTTACCCATGTGTGCTAATACAGATGTGCAAAAGTATGTATCTACAGGATTCCTAACTGATAGGATATAGTAATTTTCAACACTAATGGTTGATTTTGCAAAATGACTTAAAATGCAGCCTTTCAGATGTGGTGTGTTACAATTCTTGTTTCCTCACACGTTTGCCAATATTGGATAATGTGTTTCTTTATTTTTATCAGAAAAGCCAATGGCTTGAAATTCTTGTTTCCTCACACATTTGCCAATATTGGGTAATGTGTCTTTTTTATCAGAAAAGCCAATGGCTTGTAAGGAAACTAGTCTAGGAGCTTTTAATTAAAAATATAAATTATGTGCTGTCCTTGCAGATATGCCAACAGTAGCCTCATCAAGTACATGGAGAAACACAAGGTCAAGCCTGACAGCAAAGTGTTCCTTTTGGTAGGTGCTTCTCCATTGTCCCAGCTATTCCCCCTTTGAAATGAAAGAAATTCGTGAATGCTGAAATGTCATTTAAGTACTTCTCTTGAGGTGTCAACCTTGATTCTGGTCTTAGGTTTTTAAGTGATTTATCAGCAGAAAAAGGATTTTAAAGGGGCTGTAATGCTGCTGATTTTTGCCATGTTTGTGTAAATTGTATACATTGCATAGCATAAGATACCCTTGATATTAATCCTGCCAGACTAAGTTTTAAAAGGTCAAGACACTGACTTGTAAACACAGTTTCATGTGGTATCAATTTTTTCTAGCTTCAGAAACTCCTTACTATGGATCCAACCAAAAGAATTACCTCAGAGCAGGCTCTGCAGGACCCCTACTTTCAGGAGGACCCCTTGCCGACATTAGAGTATGTATCCCCTTCCTCCTCAGACAGTGGCTGGAAGCAAGGGAAATGCGTTACTCTCTTCATGAAACTGATACAGAGAAAGGGCCCGTGCCTTCCAGCAGGCCAGGCGACAGAGACATGTGAATAAAAATAGGCGTCGTAGACAGCTTTACAGATGAAAACTAAAGCTGCTTTGGTTTTCTCTCTGACAGAGGAGAACAGGTAGATGAGAGGTTACCAGACCAGCAGGGAATGTCTGCAGAATGTGTGCACAGCTCACTCAGATACTGACTTTGTGCTTGTATTTGTGAAAGGTGCATTTCTTTTCTTGAGGGAAAATTTTTTTCCTTGTTGACGCAAACACGGATTCAGTTATTTTTGGTGCAAATGAAATTAAAGTGGAGAAGATTCTCTTGTGTGTGTCAGTAGGAGTCATGATTTGAAATTCAAAGTGGCAATGAACTGTTCTTAATGCTTATATTTAGTTATTTTGGGAGGCATCAAGCAAACACTAGCACAGATGAAGAGTAAGAAATAAGTGAAGACAGAAAAAGTAGAATTTTAAAGTAACAGAGTAATGATGTCAGAGTCTATAGGTCATGGCGTGTTTCTGTGTAATGCTTTTTAGTGTGTTTGCTGGCTGCCAGATCCCGTACCCTAAGCGAGAATTCCTTAATGAAGATGAGCCTGAAGAGAAAGGTGACAAGGTAAGAAATGCGCTGTGCGCCTGAACTGGCAGAGAATACTGTAGGCAGAAAGATAACAGGAGGGGTGACTCTTACACACTGATCCGCCCTGAATGATGTGGAACTCTTCTGTTCCCCGAGTCCTGAGTCCTACTCCTTTATGCATCTTTACTGTTGGGTCATGCAAGCTGGATTTTTACTGGCTGTATCAGCCCCCTTCCCATACTGCTCTACTTTTCCAAAATTATGATTCAAAAACTTCCTACAGCTGTTTTAATGAGTGCAGAGCTATTTCCTTCCTGTGTCCTTCAGTGGGATGTCTGGGCTAGTTCAGAGGGTTATTGTACAGTCCAAAGGAACATCAAAGAACACATCCCGTTTGGGGCTCAGGATGTTGCTTCTGGGGACCGGTGTTCTCTGGCTGCCCCATTTCCCAGTCACCCCAGTCACACAGTCGTCGACTACAGGCTGGCCCCCAGCTGGGTCAGCAGTCGCATGTGTACCTCAGGTGGTGGGAGAAACTTGCTATCGATTTAGTTTCCTACTGGCCTTCCCTCGTTTTCCTCTCCTCACAGCAGAATCAGCAGCAGCAGAACCAACATCAGCAGCCCACAGCCCCTGCACCCCAGGCGGCAGCCCCTCCACAGGCACCCCCTCCGCAGCAGAGCAGCACCCAGACCAACGGGACCACAGGTGGGGTGGCAGCTGGCATGGGGGCCACGGCGGCAGGGCTGCAGCACAGCCAGGACTCCGGCCTAAGCCAGGTGCCTCCAAACAAGAAGCCACGGCTTGGGCCCTCGGGTGCCAGCTCAGGCGGGCCCGTCATGCCCTCGGACTACCAGGTGCGCCCAAGCATGTCCTTCCCAGTGCACACGTGTCTTGTAAAATGGGAAACAGGCTTTGAACAGGCCCTGTCAAAGGAGTCCAGTAATTATCTTTCCATCCCCCAACACCCAGTACTGGGACTGAACCAAGGCCTCATGCAGAACTATGTCCCCAGCCCTTTTTATTTTTGAAATAAATAGGGTCCATTGAGTCACTAAATTGCCCACAACAGGTGTTGAACTTGTTTGTTTGTATAAGAAAGGGTTTCACTATATGGCTTAGGCTGGCCTCAATCTCACAGCGATCCCCCCCTGCCTCAGCCTCCTGAGTGTTGGGGTTATAGCCATCCCAGCTGTTGGGATTATAGCTACCATGCCCAGTTTGGGATAGGATTAAACTTGTGATCCTCCTGCTTCATCCTCCAGAGATTACACTACCAGTCCTGGCTTAGAATTAAGTAGTTTTTTTTTTTTTTAATTGTTTTGAAGGTAGTAAAATACAACAGAACAAGATGGAACAAAGCCAATTGAGACAGTGCAGTGAAATTGGTACAGAACTTCACAGCAGGTTACCGGGATAACAGCAATAGGTACCATAGTATATCTCGTTATCTTCACAATAGTTGTTCTTTCCATCAGGTATAGCAAAATCAATTGAAATATAGAACATTATAGAACTTATCAAAACAGAATATTGAATAGAGCAATAACATTAATCAGAACAAATCAAAACAGTGATAAAAATATTTGCCTTCAAAGAGATGGTTGAAGGAAATCCCCCTAATTTGCTATATTGCATATGGTCAGCCTCCCAAGACATGCTCAGACCTCTGGCTCCCATTTGCTAGTGGGGAAAAGGGGGGATGTTTGATTCTCAGCCCACATACTGGTAGGCTCACAGCTGCTTACCGGGAAGGCGAGCTGGTTGCTTGGGAGAGTTAAGTAGTTCTTAACATTAACATTTTGATGTTCAAATTACATAGTTCTGTTTCTAGGGCATTCACTGAAGATTTTTATTATATTTCATGTAATTTCATGTTATTTTATAACCTGATTAACAAATCAGGTATCCTTATACTCTGGAGAGAAGAAGCAGCAAGATAGGTATCCTCTTTCTTAAAGAAAACATCATTATTTTACCCATATAGTTGCCAGTCAGCTATGCTCATGAAAGGATACCTACATGAGCATTGAAAAGGGAGGGCCATGAGCGTGGTGAGGCACACACCTGTCTTCCTACCACTCTGGGACACTGAGGCAAGAGAACTGTAAGTGCAAGCCCACTTTGGGCAACTTCGTGATTTAGCAAGTCCTCTTCTCAAAATTAATTTTTAAAATGGCTGGGGATGTAGCTCAGTGTGAAGGCCCTGGGTTTAATCACTAGTATGGCAAAAAAAACAACACTGAAAGAAAGAAGAAAAAGCCAAGAGAAAGGGAGTGGCGGCTTTAGAGAAAATTAACTGTGTCCTTCAAACAGATTTGCGTTTACTGAGAGGAAATGCTCATTAAGTTACCATGTAGATACAGAAAAAGAGGCTTTTGGGGGCTGAGGATTTAGCTCAGCAGCATAAGCACCTGCCTTGCAAGCGCATGGTCGTGAGTTTGATCCCTGGTACCGGTAAAAAAAAAAGAAGAAGAAAAAAAAGAAAAAGAGGCTTTTTAGAAGTAACAGTTCATTCCCACTGGAAATTATTTGGAGACTGAATACTTTTTGTTACTAAGATATAAAGAAAACTACAATTATACTCCTAGTTAGGAAATCAGAAATGTCTAAGGCGTGGTATTTGGAGATAAGTAAGCTTTCCCATTATAAGCCTGAAGTGGTGGTGCACACCTGGATCCCATGGCATTTGGCAGGCAGAGGCAGAAAGATTACTGTGAGTTCCAGTCCAGCCTGGGCTACATAGTGAGACTTTGCCTCAGAAACAGACAGAAAAAAGTACCTGTTTTATTAACCTTAAAGAATCTTGCAAAAGAAAAAAATGTTTTCAACAAGCTAAGAACAGACCTAGGAAGAAGGGAAAGCTTAAATAAAACATTAAGTGAAAAGACAAAAGCTTTAGAATATAATGCTCAGGAAACTGGAAGAGAAGCATTTAGGACAGAGCTAATAGAAAACAAACTTTTTGGCAAGAGTCATAAACTCACTGGTAGGGAACTAAAAGAAACATTTGCAAGAAAGACAGTAGTAGCAGGCTAAGCTTACTTTACATGAATATCTCAACAAGCAAATGTGTTGTACATAATTACTTCTCTGAGAAGTTCTCATCTCAGGTTCCCTGTCCTCCAAAGGGTATACTTCTCTTTGGCTCCAATTAAGTTAGTATAAGTATCTATTTGAACTACTAAAAACTTGGCTATATGGGTAAGTAGTCAGGAACATACTTGAATTTTGTTATGAATAACATTTTCCCCAAAACTTCAGTTTATCCCTGTGATATGAGCAACAGGAGTTTGCTGAATATTGTTGGATCTCTGTGTCTCAAATTGTATTATACCAACCTGTGTTACAGAAAACATTGAAAGATTAAAAGGGAGCTGGTCATTGTGGCATACATGTCTAATTCTAGCTACTTGGGAAGAGGCTAACATAGAAGGAATCAAAGGTTGAGCACAGCCTGGGCAATTTATGGATTTGTCACGACCCTGACTCAGAATAAAAAATAGAGAGCTAAGGTATAGTTCAGTGCATAAAGGACCTAGATTTTGTCCTCAGAATTGGGGAGAAATAAAGATTTTTTTTCATGGTGGGCCATGCCTCCAACACCAGAAGGCCACAGCAGGAAGACTGCAAGTTCCAGGCCAGCCTGGACAATTTAGTGAGACCACCATCTCAGAGTCATAAAGGGCTGGAGGTATCAGTGGTGGAGTATTCTTGGCTTTGATCGCTTCAGTCTCACAGAAAAGTTAAACAAAATGAGTAGAATATATTTAAGGCAAGCTGTCACAATAGTTGTAGAGCCAGGGGTGATGTCATAGGCCTGTAATGCCAACACTGAGAGACTGAGGCAGGAGATTGTTGCGAGTTCGAGGTCAGCCTGAACTGCATAGCAGGGCCCTGTGTTAAAAGTTAAAAAAAAAAAAAGAAAAAAAAAATTCATACAGAGATGACTGCTTCAAAGTCTTGTGGTGCGAGAGAGACTGGACTCCACTGCAGCGTGGCAGGCAGCAACATGTAGCCGAGAAGCACTGACTGTGGGAGTCCGGGGAAGGAGAGGGGCTCAGGAAGCAGCAAGGCCGAAGTGTTCTGATTGAAGATTATTGCTGAGGCAGGTCAGGGAGATAAAATACTGAGGACAGGGATTTTTGCCACCAAGTTGGCAGGATTCTTGCTCTAACAAGATTCAGCAAAGATAAAGAGGGAAAGCTTGAGTCTGGGCTTAGTCAAAGGGACTGAAAGGAGAAGAATATCTTTTGTCACCCTGCTGCAGTCAGTTATAGGCAGATTACTCTGTTTCCTCTAGAGCTGTTTGTTGTTTTGTTTCATTTTGTTTGTTGATCTTTTGAGAGGAGGTCTTGCTATGTAGGCCAGGTGGCCTCAAACTCAGAATCCTCTTGCTTCAGTCTCCCAAGTGCTAAGGTTGTAAGTGTGAATAACCGTGGCTGGCTCTGTCTTGTTCAAGTTCATAAATTCTTCAAAATACTTTTTCCATATTATTCTGTCTACTTAGAAATAAAACTTAACATCATATTCATGAGACACAGAGTTCAGTGAGTTGGGACTGGCAGAGGTAATGAGCAAATTTACAAGCCTTACAGAAACAAGCTGGTAGGGGTTTGTTTTATTTTGTTGTTAGGTTTGGTTTGGTTTGGTTTGGTTTTGGTCGGTTTCTGTGTTCATTTGTTGAGATGGGATCTCATCACTAGTTCAGGCTGGCCTTGAGCTCATTGTGTAGTCCAGGCTGGCCTCAGCCGCAGCCTCCTGAGTGCTAGGATTACAGGTGTGCATCACACGCTCAGCCTGCTGTGCTTGTTCTTTGTGTAGGGCAGAGCTATTGGGCTGAGTAGGATGTGCTAACCTGAAAGTACATGATGATAGCTACAGATCTTGTGTGAAAGGGAAGGGGGAGTAGGAGATGGAGGAGAGGGAGGAGATACAAAACAGAATTAAGATGTGTTATGTGCATATTTCACCTCCCCGTGATTAGTGTAGTCAGTATGCACTGCAAACATATACTAACAATTTTTTAAATAAAAACTTTCTAAATTTAATTAGTCATAGCTAGCATACCAATTATAGGACATTAGTTTGTTTTCATTGTGGTGATGGGCTCTTTTTGTTTTGTTCTGGTTTTTGGTTTTTTGAGACAGAGTCTCTATGTAATTCAGGCTGTCCTTGAACTCACTATGTAGTCTGGCTAGACCTAAAACTTGAGGCAGTCCTCCTGCCTCAGCCCCCCAACTGTTGGGATTATAGGCATGCACAGTCGGGCATATTTTTCCCTTTTCCTTACGTTTTCTGATTCAAAGCCTCTCATAAATAAAACATCTTTATATTGATATTTTAATTTCATCATAAACACATTTCAAAATAAAATAACCGTTTTCCATAATGTTTAAGAAAAGTTAATGTGATATTTTATGTTCTTGTATTTGATTCTCCAGAATTACTTTAATCTCAGTTTATTCAGGCCAGGCTTACTTTTCTGTGGAGAGCTTTTACCTTGTTTTCAGTCCTACTTGCAGTGATTCACAACTTTGGGGTTGCTTCATTAGGGTAAGTCAGTATGATTAGTACTTTGAAAAGAAGAGCCTGACTTTTTCTGTCTAAGAAGGAAATCTTGACCTTAAAAAAGATGTATGGCAAGCCTTGGTGGTGCAAGCCTGAAACCCTAGCCTTTGGGAGGGAGGCTGAGGCAGAAGGGTTGCTATGAATTTGAAGCCAGCCTGGGCTATACATCAAGACCCTGTCTCAAAAAAACAAAGAAATAAAAGATACACAGGACTGGTGTAATGGTGTATGCCTGCATAATCCCAGCACTCAGGAGGCTAAGGCAGGAGGGAATTTTGAACTTTGTAAGTTCAAAGCCCACCTAGACTGTGAGAGAGACTTTGCTTTTTGTTAAAACCAAGATTTAAAAAAAAAAAAAAAAAAAAAGACACTACAGTACACTAAGTTCTTCCATTTTTTACATTGTATTCACCACTAGTGATTTCATTAGTAAATTGTGAATAGCAAGATCGTTTTTTCACTAAAAGCTTCAAAATAAAGTGTAAATTTTGAAAGGCTTTTACCGGTACCACTGGTCAGTTGTGAAGCTTGTTCGCTGCCTTGTTACCATCGGCCAGGTGCTCAGTTCAGCTCGCCAGCGTCCGTCGTGGGGCCGGGGAGGACCTGGTTGCTGTGTCCTTTCTTTACCGCTTTCGGTGCTGGGACGCCAAGCACGGCCCGACCGCTGCGCGCACCCCTAGCCTTTCCCTTCCCGACCCTCCTCCTGCACCACCTCTAAAGCACTCACATTTTAACTAGAAGTAATAGCTGTGTTACATTTGTTCTTTCCCACTTTGCTCAGAGGAAAAAACAACTTTCTGAGCATAGAGACACTAATTCCAACTATGTTTATATTTAATCAAGTACCACATTTCTTACTCTATCCATGAATTTTCCTTTGTATGTTTTTTTCCTATTTGCCTCATGAAACACTATGAAGATGTTTCATTTAAAGTAATAAAAATACGTTGGATTGAAATCCAATCCAGGCATGGTGCCGTCTGCCTATGATCTTGCTCTTGGAAGCTGAAGCAGGAAGACTCTTGAAGCAGGTACAGGAAACAGGCCAGATAACATAGCAAGAGCCTATTTCAAGAAAAGAAAAAGAAATACATTGATCTCTGTCTTTCCTTGAGGGTTAATCATGTGTGAAATTGCTTTAATGATTTATTTATTGGAGAGAAAGTAGGATTTATTAGTGGAGGGCCTTGTTCTGAATGTTTCTAAAAGTTTATAAATCCTGTGTATTGTTGCTGCATTCTGCTGCACCTTGCCTGGCTTTGTTTTGTAGGTGGGACTGCTGATGCCCCTAGTGCCCACCTCTGAAAATGTTTTGCTGTAAACAGTGATTTCTTAATTACAGCTTTGTTGTTTATAATGAGAAAATTAACAGTATGTCATTATCACTGTAAATGCCACTGATTTCCATATGCCTATTTGGTCATTTTTATTTGTAAATCTCAGGCAAAGAATGAAATTGAACCCCGCGTGAGTCTGCGTGAAGAGCAAAGGGGTCAGCATGTGAGTTTCTCCTCTGCTCTTCTCTGCGCCAGGTCACTCCTCCGCCAGGGGAGTCCCGCCAGCTTCAGGCTGCCGGAACGTTGGCCCCGGTGCTGGCAGTGTGATTTCAGAGGAGCAGAATGTATTCAGAAACTGACTTTCAGCTCCTGTGGACCTGGACCAGGAGCCTAGGGATAAAAACGGTTTATCCCTCAGTAATCTCCTTTTCCTGTTTCCTTCCAGCACTCTAGTTCTCGCCTGACTTACCAAAGCAGCGTTCAGGGATCCTCTCAGTCCCAGAGCACCCTGGGCTACTCCTCATCGTCTCAGCAGAGTGCGCAGTACCACCCATCTCACCAGGCCCACCGGTACTGATCCACAGCACTGCACTGGCCCTGGCCAGCCCAGAGCACAGACCCCAGCAATATGATGTCTGCATTGCAGAGAACCCCAAAGTGCAAACTGTGATGCCATTCAAAACTCACACACTTGGGAGGAGAGCCTTGTATATTGAGAACTGATATCTCTTCTTTACTGACTTAGAGAAGTTTTTGTGAAGTTTCCCAACCTCCTTTCCCGCATGTGTTCCCTTGTGACTTCTCTGATAAAGCCCGTCTGATCTAACTCCAGCACTTCTGTAACCTTCAGCATTTCATGAAGGATTTCCTGGTGCACCTTTCTCATGCTGTAGCAATCACTATGACTTATCTTTTCAAAGCTCTTTTAATAGGATTTTAATGTTTTAGAAACAGGTCCAGTGGGTATAGTTTTATACGTCATGAACTGATTTAGCAACACAGGTGAAAATGTACCTTTTAAAGCACTACATAATTTTCATAGACTGTAACTGTTTTGCTTATGGAAATCTTAAACAGCAAGTGTTATTGTCTCAAAGTACTCTTATGTTATATTTATCTAGTTTCAGGGAAGGTCTAGGAAAAGACAAGTGGTGTGGGACAGAGGGAACCTACCACCAAAACCAGCCTAGATCTTTGCAGTTACTATGCTTTATGCTATGAAGAATGAAAATATGTGATTTTTATATAACCATTCATATGGAACTTAGTTCCCAGAATCAGTGCATTCTGAGTAGTATTCAGTAACTAGGCGTTGTAGTTTTAACCTACATGCAGCTAAATTTACCTTAAAAAGGGTTTCAAGAGCTTTGATGAAATATAATCCTCTGGTGACCCATACCAGAAAGCTGGAGAAAGTATGAACTGCACTAGGGTTTCTTTGAGGAGTGATGTTTATCAAAGGGGTGTTACTTCCCCTTGAAGGAGAAGTTTTTAGTGTGTAAAGTTGGCTTCTCTAAGGAAACTGTTACTTTCTTCAGTTTCTTCACAATTGAGTTGAAGTAACATTCTTACATAATCAAGAGTACTCAAATAGAAGCCTGCAAATTCATATGCTTTTAAAATCAAGAGCAGCGTGCTCTGTTTGTACTTGCATTAGACATAGACTATTTTTAAAGCATGTTAAAAATTTAGGTTTTATACATGTTTAAAGTATGTATTATGTATTATGCATAATTTTGCTGTTGTTACTGAAACTTCTATCGAGAATCTTCATTGCACTGAATGCTTTCTTTTGCTCCTAGGAGAAAACTTAATAATTGTGCCTAAAAAACTATGGGCAGTTAGTGTAAGGCTATACCAGATAAGGTGAATATTTGCATTTCCATTATCTATGAATTTGAGGCTGAGTTTTTTCTCAGCCACTGTAAGTAGCACCTCAATCCCCAGAGTTAAAACGTAAAGACTTAGAGCTCCCATTGCAATGTAAGGGGCAAAAATTTTGTGTTCTTCTGAATGCTACTAGCAACACCAGCCTTGTTTTAATGTTTTCCTGAGCTAGAAGAAATAGCTGATTGTCATATATGCAAATTGTATGCATTTTTAAACTATTCTTTGTGAACGTATCTACCTGGTTATGATACTCTGGGTCCATATACAAGTAAAATAAGATTTAAGACAGAAGCCAGTATACATTTTGCACTATTGATATGATACTGTAGTCAGGCAGGACTTTACTGATCTCAGCATAATAATGCTTAATAGTGATGATAAGACTGTAGTGACAGTCTTCAAGATGGAAGGTGAAACAGTTGGCATGCTCCATTGGCAGGAATTTCTGATCATCCCCGTGGTGTTTAACCCCTTTTGTTCTTTAAGAAGTTAGCCTCCTTGCATGGTATAGTCACCTGTGCAGGGTTCTGTCCCATGCCCTGAAGCCTCCTTAGCCAGAGCTGCTGATCAGCAAGTGCTGAAGCACCCTCAGCCTGTGCCGTCTTTCGGGAGCCCATGGGAGCTTGTGATCACTTCAGTGTTAACAAGTGCTCCTGGAAAGTCCATGCTGTGTGTTTGACTTACAGCAACACAAAGATCCTTTTGTTTGCTTGTAAATCTACTTGGATAGTTATTCTTCCGAATTCTATAGTAAACAGTGTTATGGAAAGGTTTCTGTGTCTGTCTATGGTAGGACAAAGCCAGTGATTTAAGTATCACGAAAGGCATTCCTGTATATTTGAAATGTTCACAGCAGCCTTGCACAATTGGGTGGCCCTGGTAGGCAGAGCATTCTCTATGAAATGGTTGTACGGAATTATAGTTAAAAATATAAGCTCTGTTCTTGATGTGAGGGAAGCTTAAATTTAATTAAAGAAACCCCCAAAATGTATATAAGCCAAGATGCCATACCCCTTAGTACTTTATAAGTAATTTTGATATGTAATTCTTAGGATACATGCTTATACGTGGACAGAACTGCCCTGCTTTCCTTGTACATAGTGAACCTTACTGGTAGCACTAACACAAACCACAGGGGGGTTCGTCAGTTGCTCCCAGGGCGCAGTATTCTCCAGGACATAGCCAGAGGTCCCCCGCTACACATACGACTGGGTTTCTCATCACTGCACTATTTCTGCCCCTTTCTCCTCTTAATGCCTCAGGGCTTGGGATACCTACTATTGCCCGTTTCACTTTGAAGTGATTTTGGTTAGTAATTTCTTTTTGTATAAAGGACAAAGCTTTCCACACATGAGGGCCCAGCGTTGTGGAACCTCCAAGGAGAACTGTAAAGCTTTCTGAAGGCAAAGTTTATCATTGTGGTCCCCAAAGGACTACATTCCCTTTTGACAGTCTAACGATACGTCCCCAGGGGTGCAGAGGGCACATCCCTCAACCTGTGGACACCTGGACCAGGGGAAGTACTGAAAGGAAGGAATGAAGCCAAGGGAAGGTTTTCTGCTCTTGATATTACTTTAGGGTTAGCTTGCTAGTGAGGTGTATGTTTGGGAAAAGGGATTCAAGAACACAGGACAGATGAACTTGAAATAAGGTGGATTGGTGGCAGGACTGATCCTGTGAGGCTGAACAATCCTTGTCATGAAGTAGATCATGTAGTAAGGCGCAAAGACCAAGGGCGTGTGTATTTTTATACCTGTGTGGTTTGAAACTTTAGTACTTAGAATGTTGGCCTTTCTGTGCTACTCTTTCGCTCCTACAGTTTACTCTCAAGAATGGAAAGAGACGTGTATGTGCGTGTTCGCTGCTTCATTCCTGGTGAAGCAACTGCCGGTGGTTCTCTGTGCCTGTAAAGCGGAGCTCTGTGCTCTGACAGAGGTAAAAGAGAAGAAGTAGCTGGAGAGTGAGACTTGGAATTTGATCTGCTTTTGAGGAGCAGAAACTACACAATGAAGGATGAATTCTGTGAAAGTTGCAAATCTTAAACTCTGTGGTGGTGTCTTCCCGCGGGATAGAGAAATGCAGTGACGTGTCCAGTAGATGAACAAACTTGAAGAAGGAGTCAGATGCAAGTAATATTTTATATAAAACTTAGCAGTTTAGGTCTCCATAATCTTCAAGAATAGTCACAAATATAAGGCAAAGGTCACTGTTCTAGGGTTTGTTTTTTAAAATGTGTTGTACCTAAGGCCATACTTACTCTTCTGTGCTCTCACTGTAAGGGAGTGATACATACGTATTATATGAACAAAACTCTTAATGCACTGTTATCTCCTAAATATTTAGTAAATTAATTCTATTTAATTTTTTTAAAGATTTGTCTGTGTAGACACTAAAAGTATTACACAAAATCTGGACAGAAAGTGTCCTTTTTAACAACAATTGAAAGTACTTTTTATATATGTTATGTAGTACATCCTTTCTAAACTGCCTAGTTTGTATCTCTTATAACTCCTGTTTGTGATGTGTGCCTGTCTTTGTCTCTTTTACAGTCATTTTCTGCACGCATCCTTTTTGTATTACTATTGCGATGGCTGGGCTTCCCTGCCCCGCTGTGGTGCGGGTGCTCTGAGGCCAGTGCCTCTGCACGGTCCGCGCTGTGGGCGCTGGGGGAGCTGCCACTTGGGAGCCCGGCGTCTCCCGCTCCTCAGTGTCCCGACATCCTTCTTGAAATAACTGTTAAAATAAATTAGATTGCATTTATTTTATATTCTTGGTTGAAATAAAATCCAATTGGCTTTGTTGCTGTGTGGTTTTTAAATGTAGGAAAACTTTTATTAAGGGTTAGTGTTACATGTATCACTGTAATAGATGTTTTTAACTGAGGTGCTGTGCATCAGTGTTTATTTTATTTTATTTATTTAGTATCAGGACTCAAACTCAAGACCTCAGTGCCCTGCAGGCAGGCACTGTGCCTCTGAGTTAATATCTGTGGCCTATCAACTGCTTAAAATAAGCTTATTCCTTATAATTTTGGCTGCAGAGTCACAGTGAAACATTACGCCCAAGGAATCAAGCAATTCAAATTATAACGGGTACAAATAAAGTGAAGTTACCATGCATGCCATTCTTCTTTAGAAGCCGTCTTTCTTTCAGCTGCCTAAAAGTAGGCATTTTAAAATCCTCACATAGCACCATTTTAGATTTTAGGTAATAGGAAATCTCCTTAGCACACAAATCTAGTGGGAAGTTTATTTTATCCTAATGAGGATGAGGGGAAAGAAGTGGAAGTGTTGATCTAAAACAGAGCTAAATTTTCACACCAAGATGCTGAATTATTGCCTGAATATTTGTGTTCCCTCCAACTATAAATATTTATATTTGGACAGGGGGCCTTTACAGAAGTAATTAAACCAAGTTTTAAGAGTAGGGCCCTGCTAAACCAGGATTTTGGTGCACTTACCTGAAGAGCCAGGTGAGAGACACTAAATTGCTCCCCTTCTTCCCTTTCCCCCAAGGCAAAAAGCAGGCATCTGCAAGCCAGCAAGGGGGACTGCCCAGAAACTCAGCCTGCGAGGCCTTGATCTTGCAGTTTCCAGCTCCTGGAACTGAAAAAGCAAAGTTATACTGTTTAAGCCACCTAGCATATAATTTTCAATTTCAAGCTCACAAAATTAGTCATCCTCGCTTGGGCAGTGACTTCTGTCCTTCCTCTGTGAAGGTCAGTTATCTCTGAACTGATGTGTTGGTCCTTTTAAGTTGCTGTTTTTCAAATGTGATATTTCTGTTTATTTTTATTCTGAGACAAGATCTCACTATGTTGCCCAGGCTGGCCTTGAACTCTTGCGTGAGTCTCTTGGTGTCCTGAATAATTGAGATGCCTGGCACAGGGCAGGCAGTGTGTATAACTTTTCTTTTTCTTGCTCAAATGCATGTGCTAGTACTTTTAGTACACTGCTGATTGGAGCTATTGTGAGTGAACACCTGTTAGTAGCTAATACTCATTTCACCAGCAGTTACAGTTTAAAGGTGTTTCGATGTTCTTTATCAAATTTTTTTATATTCCTGTTGGCAAGAGTTTTAATCATGAGCAGGTACTGAATTTTGTTAAACACTCTTTCTACATATGAGACGATCATGGGTTTTCTTTTTTCCTTTGTGCTGCTGGTGGGATGAGTTACATTGATTTCGAATACTAAAACAACCTTGTCCTGGTGATAAACCCAAAAGGAAGACGGATGGAGACTGTAGGACCACAGATAAAGCATGGTCAGCAGCTACCAGAAGTCAGAGGCAAGGCCAGATTCTCGCCTGGAGCCTTTGCAGGAACCCTTGTCCTGTAGACACCTTGATTTCAGACCTCTCACCTCCAGGACTGCAAGAAAATAAATATCAGTTGTTTATCTACCAGATGTGTGTGGTGCTTTGGTGTAGCAGCCATAGGCAATTAGTACAGCATGCATTTGATCACGATGTCCTCCTAGCAATGTTCTGATTTGCTGCATTTACTTCGACATTTTTAAGGATTTTTATCTCTTTATGAATGATGTTAACCTATCTTTTCTTTAATGTTTTTGTCAGATATTGTATCAAGACCAATCAGGATTTGGAAAATGAAAAATGGGAAATTTTTTATTACCTGAGTTTGTGCACTTTATTTTTTCCTTAACCATTTGGTAGTGTAAACTAGCCAATTTGATAGAACTCAGTTTCTATGAAATTTCTTTTTTTCTGTTTTTCTTTCTCGTTTTTGATACTGGGGATTGAACCGACAGACCTTCACACCGACTTACATCCTCAGCCCTCCCCTCTTTTTTGGAGACAGGGTTCACCTAAGTTGCCCAGGCTGAACTTGGTGATCTGCTTCATCTTCTGAGTGCTGGAAGAAAAGTTTAAATTGTGAATTTGATTCCTTTAAACTGGGATGCAAAGCTGTGCATATTTTCTATTCTTAAATTATTAACATTTCATCTAAGTTTCATTGTAAATATTTCTAATACTTTTTGATGTGAAATTGCCAATCAAAGGGGATCTTTTATTTAAAGAGGAAAAAAAAGGGAAAAAAAACCAAAGCAGTAAGAGGGTACAAATAATACAGAATTTCAAGAAAAAATGTACAGTAAGAAATCACTAGTTAATAGATGACATATTGTCATCTTAGAAACAGCTGTCCAAATGACAAAATTAAAGCATACAAAGTGGACATTCATACAGTGAGATTACAGACAGTTCTGTTCAGTGATCCAACAAAAACTCAGTAATATAGTTTCTATCCTACACCCTTAAATATATATGCAGTTATATCCTTTAGACCTCTTTCTTTTCCTCCCTTTTTTACAATAACAACTACACTTTTTGGGTTTTATTACTCCCACAGTTCTTACTACCTTTTTTTGAAGAGAATAAAACCAAATGTGACAAAACGAGAGAAGGATGGGCACAGTACATGATGCAAAAATAGCATACCAGGTGATCAAAAATGGTTACCATTATCCTCTTGCTGTTTTAAAAAGAGTTGCCTGTATCATCAGGTATAACAGAATTGACCAAAACAGTACAGAACAAAACAAAGGGGGTCATTTTATGATAACATTTATTGAGTAGTTCCTCAATGCACTTACTATTATATATATTTTTTTCATCTTTTTTCACAAAAGCTATGTGAAGTGGCCACTAATGTCCCTATTTTTCCCCCAGTGGTGGGGTTCATTCTTTAGCTTTGTGTTACTTAGCTCTCCTGTTACCAAGTAAGATAGGCTTGTGCCTTGACACCAAGTAAATGGCATACATAGGGCAGGGTAGGGTGTCAGCTTTTTCTGTCGCTGTGACAAAATACCTGAGGGAGGAAAAAGGGAAAGAGCCAGAAAAGGCCTGTCACACCCCCATAATCCACTTCCTTCAACCAGGCCTCACCTTCTGTTCCGTCACCTTCCAGTAATGCCGTCAAATTGTGATCACATTAATCCACTGAAGGAGACCGAGCCTTCTTGATTCAGTCTTCCAAAAGCCCACCAACAACCAAGTTTTCAACACCATGAATCTTTGGGCCACATTTTGGATCTCAACCATGATACACCATATGTCTGTTTTTGTTCCTGCCTCAGAGCCTTGTATGTAAATATTTTTTAAAAGAAAAACACATGCATATAATAAATGTTCAGTTATATCAGTTGACTGTGAGCTATCAGTTTTCGTGATGTGGAATAATTTACTAAGTTAATTTTTTCTAACTGGTTATTGACTTAAGCAATATCACATAATATTGCTGAAAGCCAATAATCAGTATGTCGGGCTTGGGGTGATTTATGTACTTGTGGCTTTGGATAGTATCCCTATTTTGTCTTTGTGCCTGAGTTGGGAAAACAACGTAATAGAAAGTCTGGACATCTCTCGTGGACTTTAACCAGCCCAATGTAATTAACTTTTGTTTACTCCAAAGGTTAAGGAGCAAAAGCAATAGATCAAGAATCTGTGGATCTTTTCACACAAAAATTTACATGATTATATACATCTGGAAAATTATGGATTAAACACAAAGTACAGGAGTTCTCAGAGCCTCTAATATGCTGGCAGTATTACGAATCTCCAGACAGGTGATGTAGTACACCCTCTCTAAAGCTTATTTTAGTGTATTTCTCCTTTTTCCTGTACCACCAAAGAATGATCTGTGGAACTGCTTAGAAATCTGATTGCAGACACTGCTGCTGTGTCCAAGGCATCTGTGCCTCCTGTTGTCAAAAGACCGATTAGTTCCCTGCCCCCCCACACACACACCTTTTTCTTTCTCTACAGGGTCTTGCTATGAGCCTCAAATTCACAGTCATCCTGGGTCAGCCTCCCAAGTCCTGAGATTGCAAATTAATGCCCAGTTAATTTGTTCCTTCTGACCCGAGTGGCTGTGACCATCCATGCAAATGGGTCCAGGGGGCCCTCTTCAGCTGCAGATGATAACTACAAGTTGGAGCAACCGTCTTGTTCCCATTACCAAGTTGTTGGCTTAGTATAGGTATGGGATGTGATTCTGGCCAATACAATTGAGGGCAAAAATCTAAGGACTTCGAGGAAGATTTATGTTAAGCTTAAAAGGGTAACAAAAACATAATGACTATTCAAGCTAGGAACTGTGGCAGCCGTGTGGGACCAGGATGGAGCCCACCTCAGAGCCAGGCAGAAGCAACTGAGGACAAGAAGGAAGATGGAAAGAGTAAACTTCAAAGAGCATCCAGTCAGTGACTTACCCAACCCTGGAGCTGCCCTTGCTCTGGATGCCTTCCTAGAAGTTTATAAACGTTCTATTAGAAATCAGCTTAATTTGGGTCCTGATATTTACAGTCAAAATCATCACAATTTGGAAGGCTCACCCAGCCAGGACCTTACCAAATGCCATTGTCACAGGCACAGAGATTCAGAGCCTCGTGTTTGGAGATGTTTATTGTTAAAAAGCAATGCTGATTCTAAACTGAGTGTCTCCCATGGTTATTACCAGGACCTGTGCTATCTATATTTAAGTAAATGACTCCAATATTACCACTTTTAAACATGTATTCCTCAGCAGTGGTGACAGGCTGTGATGATAAACCATCATCAAAGCTGTGACAGTGACATCTGGAAGTAACTGCTGAAATCCTGTGGTCTCCTTAGGAAGCAGAACACACACAGCAGCCCAGGCCACTTCACGCTGTGCCACATAAGGCCACTGTGTGCGAGGAGACTATGCACCCCTTGGCCTTCACTGAGTTGGCCCAGTCCTTCCTATGCCCAAGGCACCAGAAGAGGTTCCCTTTGCCTGTCCTCTGCGCTC